GAACTCCACCCAAGTACAGATTTCCCCCCTCCCCGCTCCCCTTCCTAGGGGGGGAACCTCCCCCCCTTGATGTTACCTAGCTTAAAGTCTTCATGGTCTTGTATTGACTCATTCTCACTTTTTTGCAGCTGTTGTATGTTTTAGGAACTGGAATACTATTACAAATGCCTAAGAATGAAATCTGTTGATTTTTCTAGGATTTAACTTGGTAGTATTTTCAAAGTAGTAGATTTCTAAATGTGAGTGTTAAAATTAGCTGGAATGTTTTGCTGTAACAAGATACGATTGAGCTTACTGTTTTGCTTTAAAGTACAGTAGAAATATTTCCGATTTTGCAACTTCAGAACTTGTTTTTTGTTTTCTGAATCAGTAACGTATTGTGAACAAGAGCAATTCCTAAGCATGTGCATTTTAAGTTGTTTCTTTCTTACGTGGTTAAGTGATTCAAGCTTTAAAAACTGTTAATGTGCTTAATATACAGAATGTGCCTCTTCTGTTCAGAAACTAATACTTTTGAAATTACTTCATGATTTTTCCTTAATTCAGCACTCCTAAACATAAAAAAAAAAATGCTGAAACTTGATGTTTGCATAAGACTAATTATTTTACCTGAGTGCCTTCTAGTAAAAATACTTGTTATATATAAAGCTGTTTAACTTGCTGTGTTTGAATTTAAGTTATTTTAAAAAGTTCATCTTAAATACTTTCACAGAATTGAAGAGGTTTGTAATAATATGTGAACTTCTTAATGCACCCTGCATTAGATGCTTTATCTGAGGAGTTGTCCGTGACGCTCAGAATGTTTCTGTGCTCTGCAGGGTGGGTTAAGAACGTAAACTGAATGGTATGTGATCGTGGATCTCTTTTTGTTGACATGCTTTTTCTTCTAGTGTTCTAGAATCAACATACCATTCGCTTACAAGTGTTAAAATTCTGGTGTATTTAAAGCTATAAGAAAAACTCATGACTGGGCTTGTGATGTTAATATTGCCCCCCTACTGGGGTTATTTGTCCTTGGGTTGAAGGGTTGGAAATCGTGCCAAATGGGATAACATTGCCGGTGGACTTCCAGGGGAGGAGTACGGGGGAGGCCTTCGTGCAGTTTGCTTCACAGGAAATAGCTGAAAAGGCTCTAAAGAAACACA